AAAAAAATAAACAAACAAAAAAAACTCCACTTGCTTTATTATGTTTCAGTGTTAGAAAAGCATCATTACAATAATCTCATTATTCAGTACGGCTTTGACGATCACGCAATTTACCTTTCAGAACAACACTTTCAGCCTTGTTAAGGTCTTTAAATTGTGTTTCCCTTATTTTTTTCCTCCATGTCACTTCATTGGTTGAGATTTGATGCATGTCTTGTATCATCTATGTACTATCTTGCGTTATTGGAACCATTATTGTTTGTTGAGAAGTTGACAGTGATGTGTCCAGAATTGAGTGAATGAACGAGAGGATGGAGGTGTTTGTGCTGTTGACTTTCGCTTGGTTGGAGATGAGAGTGTGATTTCTGTGGCTGTAATGTGGAGATTGAAATAAACATGGATTCAGAAAGATGTCTCTTTGGAAATGGATTTTTTTTTATTGTGTGACTTATGTTAGTACAAGTCTAAAAATAATCTCCTAAATCTCTAAAAAAAATAATGTCCTAATGTTTTAGTTTTCAATACAATGACATGATACAACTCAAATTAATATAAACTACCATTGAACCGCATTTTGGGGCTGGTATGTATTTATAAGTGGGTCACCTGGGGATATAACCCACCAGTCCTACTGCACCCAACCCACTCTGAGTTGGAATTAAACTAGCGATTCTTTGTATGGGAGTAAGTTGCTCTAACAAGGAGGCTAAAGACCTTGGCCTCTAGCGTCGGTCACTAGAGCACCTGTAGAGGTCAGAAGAGTGAGGTGTACCTGCATAGCACTTCGCCAGTTGGGCTCCATTACAGTCACCCCCCTAAACCTCACTCCAATCCCGGACGAGCCCCCACATGTAACCCACCGGTCCTACTGTGCCCAGCCCGCACTGAGCTGGGATCAAAACGGCAATTCTGTGTATGGGAGTCAGTTGCTCTAACAAAGAGGCTAAAAACCATGGCCTCTAGTGTCTGTCGCTATAGGACCTTTAGAGGTCAGGAGTGAGGTTTACCTGCATAGCACTTCACTAGCTGGTCTCTGTTAAACCCGGCCCCCTTAAACCTTACTCCCATCCTGGACGAGCCCCCACGTGTAACCCACCGGTCCTACTGCACCTATGCCAGTCTGAGCTGGAATCAACGATTTTATGTATGGGAGTCGGTTGCTCTAACAAGGACGCTAATGACCACGGCCTCTAGCGTCTGTTGCCAGAGCAGTTTTAGAGGTCAGAGGAGGGAGGCCTACCTGCACAGTAATTCACTAGCTGGACTCGGCATAAGAAATGTATATGTATGTATATGTATGTGTGTGTATATATATTTATATATATATATATATATATATATATATATATATATATATATATATATATATTTATAGTGTGTGTGTGTGTGTGTATTTATGTGTATATATATACACACACACACACACACACACACACACACACACTTGTTTTCTTTTTTTATAATAAATCATGTGTATTTTTAAATTACTATAATTAATGTTATCTGTTATCTTTATTCCAGTCTTCACGGTCACTTTAGACATGACTCCGATATATTTTTTCAGGATCCATTGATAAGAACAGAAAAAGATGAGCAGTGTTTAAAACAAAAAAACTTTAAACTGTAAATTACTGGAGCCACTTTTGATAAATATGTCCTTAATGAGTAAAAGTTGTCAAAAAAAATTAACAATTAAAAAAAAAACATACTAACCCCAAATATTTAAATGGGAGTGTATATTAAACATACTTGCGCTTTATTCAAGGCTCATCGTGATCATTCTGGTTATGTTTGGCAATGGATGATGGTTACTATGGAAATGTTATCAGTGTAATTTAACTCTCTGGTGTTGTTCAGTTATTTTAGAAAAGATAAACAAACATTTAAAAATCCAACCTTCTTCAAAACTGTAGCAAGCATTTAGTGAATATTGAAAATGGAGGAAGGGGAAACATTCTTCAAATCAACACCGATACACATACAAAAAGCAACCAACAGCAGTAAAGGGGTGAACCTCGAAAACATCAGTAATGCAAAGTAGACACACACACACAAACACACACTAATTGGCACACCTGTGATGAAGAGCAAAGTTTTCGAAAGTTTATGAATTATGAAAAGTTTATGATATGAATGGTTGATAATTTGGTCGAGTATTTGTTTAACGCAAACATAAATAGTAAAGAAAGTCAAAATGTGTCATGGATGTAATTAAGGTGTTTTCCTGTGGAATTAGGCTACTGTTAACCACTTAGCAATGTTTTTTTTTTTAAATTCCATATGTTAACTTATGGGTTTGACATAATGCGTCAATTATATTTATATGGTTGCATAAAAAAAAAAACTCTACCAAATATATATCCTCTCAATGATTTAAAACTACAGGAATGTTGAAAGAGGGTAAGCAAGCAGTTTTGTGAGGTGCAAAGGCTCCACTGGAGAGAATGCGCCATGACTGACATTTCAAAGGTAACAGAGGTGTTGCTAACTTTATTTCTGAAAAAGAATAATTGTATTTTTATTATTTTTTTGTTTATTATTATTATTATTATTATTTTTTTAGTTTTGGAATTGAAGAGATGGTTTTATTGACCATCGGGGTAGTTTCTTTGCAAAAACCTGGCAACCCTGAAACTAATCCACAATTGTTTCCATTATATTAATATTAGTATGGATGTTTCCCATTGATGGGTTGCAGCTGGAAGGGCATTAACTGTGCAAAACATATGCTGGATAAGTTGACAGTTCATTCCGCTGTGGTGACCCCAGGCTAATAAAGGGACTAAGCGAAAAAGAAAATGAATGAAGGAAGGAAAGAAGGTAGGAAGGAAGGAAGGAAGGAAGGACGGAAGGAACATTAATATTAAATATTATTTTTTACCTGAGATTTGGAGCCAAGTTACAGGGCTTTTAAAATTACTTTTGAAAAAATGGCTATTCTGTGCTTATTTTATTTTTACTACACTTGACTGCTGGTAAAGACATCTTTATCATACTTTAGCAAATGGGAGATATAAAACTTATTTTTCTCTAGGTTTTCATGCCTGTAACTTCTATATCATATGATAAATTGGGCATTAACCCAAAATCTTTTTCTTTTGATATCTAAGTTTTTTGTTACCTTTATTGTTCATTTCCAGAGATTTATGAACTTCAGTGTGGCTGAATGAGAAAAGTTTTTGAGTTTAACAAACCACTGAGAGAGTTTAGTTTTAATGTCGTTTGCATTTCAAACATATAACAACACTATATTTATACAATTGAAGTCAGAATTATTAGCCCCTCTGAATTATTTCCCCTCGTTAATTTTTTTCCCTAATTTCTGTTTAAAGGAGAGCAGATGTTTTCAACACATTTCTAAACACAATAGTTTTAATAACCCATTTCTAATAACTGATTTATCTTTGCCATGATGACAGTAAATAATATTTTACTAGATATTTTTCAAGATATTTCTATACAGCTTAAAGTGACCTTTGAAGACTTAATTAGTTAATGATGTTTAACAGAGCAAGGAAATTTTTACACTATGTCTGATAATAATATTTCTTCTTCTAGAGAAAAGTCTTATTTTTTATTTTGACTTGAATAAAATCTGTTTAAAATTTTTTGAACACCATTTTAGCGTGAAAATTATTAGCCCCTTTATCTATATATTAGCTATATTTTTTTCTATAGTCTACAGAACACACCATGAATGTTATGTTAATTTAAATTTAATAATGATGTTATGATAATTTTTATATTTTTGAGTTATGGGTATGCCGGAAAAAATAAAAAAATAAATAAAAAATCTTTTGAACCAATAAGTGAAATATAAATCTGCAAAAGTGAAGTGATTTTACTAAAAGATCTACCTATTTTTCTGTAAAAAAAAAATGATGCTCCAATCTTTCTCAAATAAAACTTAACTCGGTTTAATACTGAGTAATGGTCTGAAGTCGGAAAATTTGCGTTTGCGTTTTTTCATATTACCATCTGAAAAAATAGTCAAGCACAGATTTCTTGCACATAGTCTAATGCGTATTAACCAATTCATTGCTAGCAAGAAAAAAAGAAAAAGAAAAACATTTGGAATCAGTTCAGTAATGTTTTTAGGATTTTGGCTTTTGCTCGTGTTTTGGCTCAGAATTGTCAAAAACCTCTCCAAAATCTTTATGTATGTGAAAAAAATAAATAATAATATATATATATATATATACAGTCACCACTTCAATTTGTTCCCTTTGCCGCTGTTCATACCGCTGCGGCGACGATAGTTGATGCGCAAGCAGCCTTTGACTGTTGAGGAGTTTTAACCACAAATTTTCAGCTTTGAGTTTTCACAATACTAAATAGATGGTAATGTATGTTTACCTATATATAATATTGATAATCAAACCCGATATTTTTATGAAAGGAAAGTTTTGGAAGCCGTGTGTAAATACACGTTAGGTCATATAATTTTTTTTAGATGTGAAAATTTTGTATGTAAATTTCTAATTCTGTGAAAAATTTCTAATTTTCTGTGAAAAGTTTACAATAGATTATATTTGTGAATTATGTCAAATTATATTAAATTTACATCCATTGCATGTAATATGTCTTTCATTACTATTTATGTTTGCCTTTTTTTAAAGAATAGAAAAAGAAATATCAATAAATTGGCGATGCAGTGGCGCAGTAGGTAGTGCTGACACCTTATAGCAAGATGGTCACTGGTCTGAGCTGGGTCAGTTGGCACTTTTTGTGTGGAGTTTGCATGTTCTGCCCATGTTGGTGTGGGTTTCCTCCGGTTTCCCCCACAAGTCCAAAGACATGCAGTACAGGTGTATTGGGTAAAGTTTGTGTGTGCATGAGAATGTATGGGAGTTTCCCAATGATGGGTTACAGCTGGAAGCGCATCTGCTGCGTAAAAAACATGCTGGATCAGTTGGCAGTTCAGTCTGCTGTGGCGACCCCAGATTAAAAGGGACTAAGCCAAAAAGTAAATGAATGAATGAATGAATATTAAAATATTATTGGGTGAATTTCGGACTCTTTAGGACTATGGTCTCCAGTCTGTTTTGACAGTGAACTACACAAGTGTGATGACTAAATGAACATCACCAGAGAGTTAATAACATCTGTTACCATCCAAGAAAGCATTAACAAAATTTGCTTTTATAAAACATTAACGGCTAAACATTAACAGATCAACCCTTGAATGAGGTATAAAACTTATTGAGGAAATAAGTAGTTCAGTCATAACTGATTGATTACTTCATCAATAGAGGATATTCAACTCTAAATCTTTGATCAAACAGGTCTCAGGTAGAAATGATTTGGGCTGAATCCCCCGATGTCAGTCATACGCGTTTCTCCTCCAGTACAGCATGTGTCGCCGTGGTTCAGACCAGAAGTGGATTGTCCAGCACTGCTACTCCTGCAGCAACGCCGCCATCTGCATGCTCCGAGCTCTTGGTCCTTAGAAGATGACCAACGCACTCATTCAACACCAATTCACTGCCTTTCCTGCGTGGGAAAATATTCATTTGTGATTAGCTGAAGATGTTTGTTCATTCCATCTTTTTCCTGACATTAGCATAAATTATGAGAGTAGCTTCCATTTAACAAAACAATCAGACATTCTGTTTTTTTTTCTTTCTTATTTTTATTTTATTGTCTCGACTTTAAGGTGCAAGTTTGACATGCAGTAGCTGAACAAGGTATTGCACTCCTGGTTCAAAACACAGTAAGCACAGGTTGCCTGATTACCTAAATAAAAGTAATGCCACGCGATAGAAGGAATATTTTCCATTTTATAATGAGCTTTTGTCCTGACCAACACTTGAAATTTATTTTAGAAATGGCTCCTATTTTTTGCAGCTGAAATACAGAAAACTGACAATGATCACCTCATGTGCTTTTATTTGCATTTGTTAAATGCAAATAACCTTTGTCTGAATATCATTTTACAGGACATTTATTGCCTTTTATTTTAATTTATTACATTTATTTATAATCATCATCTGATACTACGAATGTCAAATTGAATGTAATTTATCTAATGGCTTGGTCTAAACTACAGTTATTCCATGTTTGCTGATGTGCATATAACATTAAGGTGGGGGGACGGTGTGGGATGTAAAGGGGTAATAGCTGTTAAAAGTATTTTTCATTTTTGGAAATAAAAACTGAATTTCAAAAAAAAAAAAAGATAAACAAGGATGTTCACTTAGCATGTTTCTTATATGCAATATTGCAAACATATAGTATTTTTATGCTTTAAAAGAGACAAAAACTTACAGCAACTGTAAAAATGTTTCACTTGTCAATGCAAACTATGTCAGTATATTTTCATGAACAAATTTAACATCCAATATCATTCATAACTCTACATTAAACAGAAGAAGATGAATAAAGTGGTGTATAAGGCTGAATTTTGGCATATTTTTTCCATGGTTTTGGTCTTCTGTTGACAATAGCCCCTTTCACACATACAGACCTTTCTGGAAAATTACTGAAAATTTTCCAGAAAGGTCTGTATGTGTGAACAGGCCTTTTTTGAAAATGCCGATAAATTAGTTCCGGCAATTTTCCAGAAAGAGAAGTTGTTAGATTACCGGTAATTTGCCGGAATGCTGAGCTGTGTGAACGCATAAGGATGATTGCTGGAAAGACTGCGTTCACGTCTAGAAAACACTGACGTGAGACGTCTAGCCAATCAGAACATTCAGATGCATTTACATCTGCACTGTTTATCAAAATAATTGCCTTATATTTTTTCAGGCAATATTAGCTTGTAGATGTTAGTCAGATAACATTTCTATGTTCCCTCCTAATGCCATCTGTGAAAAAAATTATCAATAAAATGCTGTTTGTTTACCTTTAAGCTCTGCTTGATGCGTGCATATGAAGGAGCCGGTGAGCGCCAACACACACACACATATTGTAAACATCTTGACATTTGAAAGTGGTCCTCCATATGTTTTCATATAAGTCGTTTACAATACTGAGCCATCACCAGAATTTGTAATGTAAGTTTGTCAATTGTGTAAACATTTAGCCACAGTTCGCGTTTCTGCCTTTGGATGTCTCACAATGCAGCTTCAAGAGTGCTAAAGCGATACATTTTTACAAATACAAGTGCTGCCATTTAGAGATCATTTCTGGTTAATGATGTCAGAATTTACTGGTATTTTGGAATGGATGTGGGAACGGTCTATTCCGGAAATATTACGGAACGTCTGTGTCTGTGTGAACACCTTTTTTATGAATTCACCAGTAAAGTCACTTGAGAAAATTTTCCACATATTTACCGGTATCACTGTGTGAAAGAGGCTATTGTCTACTGTGTTTATGGTCCAGGGTTCATACACATTTTTTCCAAGACTTTCAATTTTCATGACCAAATGTTTCATGTGATGTCTACATGTATGTGGTAACAACATACGCAACAATCTTTTCAGTTTAAATTAATTTTTTAATCTATATCAAATTGTTACGACTGGAGTTTATTTATTTATTTATTTATTTATTTATTTATTATTGCAGATTGTACTCTGTCTTTTTCTTTTGTCTTTTGGCTCCCATACCGACGTGATTCCCTGTTCTGATTGGCTGCTGGTCGCAAAAGCATGTATAAAAAGGAGCTTCCAGCAGGGATCGGGGAGCTCATTTCTGTGCGTTCGGAGTTTGGAGTGGTGCTCCTGGGTCTCCCTCACCCCTTCGGCCGACGACCAACAACCAACATTGTACTGATGAACATCATTCTTTAAAATGTTTTTGAGAGTTTGAGCGTGTAGGGGTGACCTGCCTATTTATTTGATTACTTTTGACTTTGTTTATGCTTAGGGACTTAGGTAAGCTTTTTGTATTTTTCTTTAAATAGTAATAGGTAACTTAGTGGATTTATTTTATAGATTCTTTTGTTTGTTATTTTGGCCTGTGGTCACCCTGACAAAATGCTCATTTATATTAACCACATTTTTCTATGATAAATCTATTCATATATACTCTCAACTGAGTGTGTGAGTTTGGTTGTCGACCGAAGGGAATCTTTAGAGATATCTTTAGGGAAAGCTCTAAGTTTTGTTTTGTTTGGGAAACCCACCACCCCAACACATTTGTTTTTCTTCGTTTATTATGCCCTTTTTGTTTCCCCTAGACTTGGGGCGTAATACAAATGTATTTAGATAATGCTTACACAGCACTAATAATGAAAGAGCATTTGACTGGCCAAGAAAAGAAGTAAAGACAACAGAGCTATATTCAAAGTTTGTTGTTAAACAAATTTGCATGATTTTCCTAAAACTTTTTGTAAAGCAATGCCAGACCTGGAAAATGCTGTGTCAACTTTTCCAGGTTTTCCATGACCGTATGAACCCTGTTGGTTAACATACTCATAGTTCATAGTTAACTGAATCTACTCCCAGGAGCAGTTCTGGAAAGGACAAACCTCGAGTAAGCGGGTTTGATGTTAATGAAACCAGAGTTCAGGGTTTAGCAGACAGTAAGTTAACCTTGCTTTCTGGAATACATTTCAGGAGTGAGCTATTTCCGGTTTCAGTGCTGAATTAAAAACATGACAACATTAGATGGTATGTTGAAAGAAAATTTACAGCATCCTGAAATTTGCTGCACCACTTAATCACTTTTAACCAGTGCTTATTTTGTGACTTGCAAGGTCCCTGAACAAATCGGGGTAACAGATCCGGCATGTCACCAGAGGATGAAGAGGTGTCGCACGCGAAAGTGAAGACAGGGGTTGGGGCAGTCATTGGATGGTGGAGGGGTGTCGGGGACGGTGGACAAAAGTGAAAGTGAAAAGCGGACGAGGGAGGAGGACGGTTAAGGAGGGGGATCAGTAAAATGAGGTGTCAGATCCGGAGAGTCCGGCACAAATTAAGCCCTGTTTTTAACTACTGAGCATTGTCAATAAAACACAAACTAAACTATGTGACAAATAAAGTGTAATATTACAGTGTTACTCAAGGTTCCCACTTTAGGCCAAATTCCCTGACTTTCACTGACTAAAGAGCAGCTGTTGTGTTGAGCAGTCCCTCCAGAATTTTGCAGTTCTGTGGTCTCTAAATTTACACAATCGAGCAAATGGTCCAAAATTTAAAACATGAAAATTTAGAATTCCGTTTTTAAGTTCTTCAGATTTTGGCCACCAAAGACACTGTTCAAATTCCAGCATTTATATTAGAATTGCCACGAAACAGAATCTAAGATTGTCCTTTTTGTAACGTACATCTTCTTATGGTAAAAATGTAAACAGTTATAAATAAATAAAAAAAGAAAAAGAAAATAGAACAGACATTAATCCTGCAACCTTCCAACCACCTGTCTAACCATTAGGCTCTATCACTATATCTCTATCCATTAGGCTCTAACCAAAATGGAGGAAAATCAACAAATAAAGGAAGGCTCCTGATGACACACTAAGGTAATGTGAAGTGAAACAGTCATTCCATGTAAGAAACTTAACATTATTTACAATATTATTAGCTTTAATCCATAGCCTGGTCAGTTTTCAGTATATGCCCGAGTGCTGTTCGATTGCACTCTGGATGCTTTTGATGACTAAAGCCTGAGGGCTACTGATCACCAATATCTATCAACAAACTGCATCACCTGACCTCCTGTCCAAGCCATTTATTCATTTTATCATCAAAAGTGACCGCACTACTTTTTCATACACAGATTTGAATGCAGCGATTCAGAGGATTAATAAACATGGGCAAATCATCATCATTTATAATTCATGTTCCGTGGGTGTTGAGATCCCAATCTTTTATTGATTAACCTTGAAGTTTACACTGAATGCATTAATCAAACTGAAGAGCAAACAGAAGACTGAGGAGCAGGGGGCGGGCGGGTACGCAAACTGAAGACTGAGGAGCTTTAATTTAAGAAACTACATCCCGAATGACCTACCACAACTTCTTCCATCATCATTATATTCCCTTATCACACGGATCAACTGTGACCGGTTACACCCCTAGCTGATAACATTGTAAATAATGTTCAATTTCTTACACAGACCATTCGTTTCACTTCACTACTAGACATCAGTGTGTCATCAGGAGCCATGGCTATAGATTTGGACTTGCTTGCATGTTTATTTTTTTAATCTAAAAGACCTAATCACTGTTCACTGCCCTTATATGAATCACCAAGGACCACGGATTCAGCTCGAAATCATCTAAATAATCTTCTACTGAAGAAAAAAAAAAGTCATTTCTTGGATGACCAGTGGGTGAGTAAATTATCAGGAAATTTCTGATCCCTCCCTTAAAATACCAAGACGTACCTCCCACTCGGTGTTCACTATCAATATGGATTATTGGTAGTGTAGCCTTATTGTTTGAAATGATTCCTTTCAGTTATTTAATTTCTAACCCAGAAGTGCAACCCATGATTTCAAAAGCAATAATCACATGTAGAACAAAGGTAGACAGAAGCTGCGATTGTGTTGAAGAACTGCTAGAAGTAACCTCACCTGACGTACGCCCCGAATGCACCCAGTTCACTGAGACAGGAGCTGACTTTCAGAGGAGCTCCGGGTCTGAGCAGGATGTTCTGGACTGGGACGGGCTGGATCTTGTCCATCAGGATGTAGGCTGTTCTCTCACTAGAGTTCTTCAGCTTCTCCAACACCTCGCAGATCTCACTGCCGTAGATGTTGTTACCTGTGATGTAGAGTAGGATATCTTTGTGAAATTCTTTTTAATATTTAATAAGTACATTTTAACCAGTCTTAAGTTCCACAGATATATTTGTGGAAATAGCCAAAAATAAACTGTATTGTAAACAAAAACTGCTGGGTTCCACACAATGCCTTCACTTTGTCCCAATGCATAAATTAAACATAAAACAATTAAGTTGTCTTTCGGCTCAGCTCCTTCTTTACCACAACGAAAAAATAACTGTGCCTATATGTTTTACATGTCATTTATGCATTACAAATTTTACATGCATGTTGCATATGCTTAAAAACACCTTATGAGCATATGCACCATTCATGTAAAATCTTAAATACATAAATATGACATGTAAAACATTTAACTGTTTAGTTGATTGTATTTCCTTCATTTTTCTTCAGCTTAGTCCCTTTATTCATAAGGGGTCGCCTCTGCAGAATGAACCGTTAACTATTCCAGCATAAGTTTTACGCAGTGGTTGCCCTTCCAGTTGCAACCCAGTACTGAAACACCTATACACGCTCATTCACACTCATACACTACAGCCCCAATTTAGTTTATTAAATTCACCTATGGCGCATGTCTTTGGATTCTGTGGGAAACTGGAGCACACGAAGGAAACCCATGCCAACACGGGGAGAACATGCAAACTCCACACAGAATTGCCAACTGAGCCAGCCGGGACTCAAACCAGCAACCATCTTGCTGTAAGGTGACAGTGCTAACCACTGAGCCACCGAGTCACCATGATTGTATTTTAAATTATTTCACACTTCTTGATGACAAATAAGTTAAACCTTGTGAATTGAAGTATGACAGATTTCATATGATAATTTGTTTATATTATGGGGCTGCAGTCAAATTAACCAATAGGCTACAATTTAGCTACTTGTATTTATTCTTTTTTTTTTTTTTCATTTAATGAAATGTGGTTGACGCCCTTTCTCTCTGTCTTTATAAACAATTAAGACTGATTTGTAATAGAATTTTTTTGTGCTTTAAATTATTATAAAAATTGTAAAATTAAAACATGACTTTAAATAACCACTTAAACCATTAAAATCTTACTCAGCTTTGTTAATAAAAAGAAGATTTGTTCATTGGTATGTTTTGCTTTATTTTCATACAGAAATTGGTACCAAGAAGCATGTATTGTTACTGGAATTAGTATCAAATGCTGAAATTTTGGAACCATGTCTACTTTAGGCTGCACTGTAATCCATATATAGGGCAATGTGTGTAATATGTAAAGATAGAATTTATCAAGCCATCAATTGATTCATCAAAATATATTATCTTTTTTTGGCATAAACCACTTTTACTAAATTAAATATTAATGCGTGTTCAGTAAATCATGTTAAAAATTAATGAAAATACTTTCATATATTCAAAAAATAGGCTGTAATACCCCCTTTCATCCCTGACCCACATTTAAGACATCTTTGCTTTTGATTTTAAACCTTGACTCTTACAAAACGTTTCTTATTTTGTGCTATTACTACTAAATGGGCAACACACCCATCATAACACATTGGCTAATGCAGGATGATTGATCACATGCTGTACTTGACGTCTTCCCCCATGGGTGTACAGTACAAACGCATGACAGGACTTGTGATTCTCACCTCCTCCCTCCCTCTGAGGCTTCAGCACATACTGATCTGGATTGGCCAAAGCCATCGCTACGGTGTTATCACCCTCTTCCCCCTATGGAAAGACAGGACATTCTTTTAAATGTTTTTAGAGAAATGCTGTAAAGCAGTTTATACAGTGGCGCTCAATATTGCTTCTGACAAAGTGTACAACTTTTTCTAATACATAATACAGTTGAAGTCAAAATTATTAGCCCTCACTGTGATTTTTTTTTTTTTTTCAAATATTTCCCATATGATTTTTAACAGAGCAAGGATTTTTTTCACAGTGTTTGCAATAATATTTTTTCTTCTTGCAAAAGTCTTATTTGTTTTATTTCGGCTAGAATAGAAGCAGTTTTAAATTTATTTACAGCCATTTTAAGGTTATTATTGAGCAATATTTTTTTTTAGATTGTCAACAGAACAAAGCATCTTTATACAAAAAAAAATTGCCTAATTACCCCAACTTGCCTAGTTAACCCAATTAACCTAGTTAAGCCTTTAAATGTCACTTTAGGCTGAATATTACTATCTTGAAAAATATCTAGTAAAATATTATTTACAGTCATCAAGGCAAAAATAAATTAAATTAGTTATTGGAGATTAGTTCTTAAAATAAGCTATTATGTTTAAAAATATTCTTTCCATTAAACCAGAATTTGGGGGAAAAAATATACAGGGCGCAAATAATTCTTCAACTGTATTTAAACTAACATTATTATTACACGACTCTCCAGAATACTTGATTTTGCTTGGTCAATCATGACATTCCAAAGGTGTACATATATATATTAATGTTGGTTTAAATACAGATGAAGTCAGAATTATTTGATGTTATTCCCAGCAAACGACCCTTAAAAATAATAACAGGCTCATCCAAGTACTTTGAATCATCTTGACTGCTAGTGAATACATTAGTATATAGTGGTCCCTTGCGATAACGCGGGTCACGTTTTGTGAACTTACAGTTTCACAGATTTTTTTCAAGAAATTTAACATTATTATTTATTTATTATTTTTTATTTTTACATCGCATTGTGCTCTGCGTCCTGATTAGCTCATTGAGTTCTGCATCCTGACTGGCTGTAGACCAGTCAATCAATCTCCTCTAAGCAGTGGCTCCTGTACAGAATGCGTTCAGCTTGCCAAATTTACACAAATCTAGAAGTAAGTGTTGTACTGTATGTATGCATGTTTTCTCACAATTTCGACGAAACGTTCTGCATCGTCAAAGGCACCTGCTGTAGCACTCAAAAGGAAGATGCTAACCATTGCACAAAAAGTTGGACATAAGTTGGACATAAGAGTTGGACAACAAACAAAAAGTTTACAAAAAGTTGGAAATGTTAACGGAAGGTAGAAGTTAGGTGGCTGTAGGGCGCCATTACAAAATAAAGAAATGAAAATCAAATAGTTTTGATCTTTGGTTTCATTCTATAATACTGGACTTGTTTTTCTATAAAGGTTTGAACAAGATTGTCTGTTTAAGTAAAGTGTATAGTGAGGGGTTTTCCAACCCTAAAACATCTATAATAATTGTAAAAAATAAAGCTGACTACTTCGCAGATTTCTATTTTTAGAACCTAACTCCAGCAACGAGGGACCACTATATACACATAGACACACAATATTATGCAATATGCCGTTTGAAACATTTTTTCTTCCAGTAAACTTTACGTTTAATTAAACTGCTGCTAAAATATTACAGCTCAGTTTAATGTTTGTGCCTAATTCTTTAGTTTTTTTGGTAAGTAACCATTTTGAGTCAGGCTGCTGATGGACTTTATTCTTTGAGATCAACCGGCTGGTTATAAATTTTAAAAAATTAATCACGATTTAACGTTCTGATTTGATTTCATTTGTCCCTTATTTAAATATGTGTTGTCAGTTTCCTTAGAACAAAATCTAAATACTTTTACATTTAATGAGTTGAAAGATATGAAAATGGTATAAATATATCTAGCTGTAGAAAAAGCGAGATCTATTTTGTAAAGTTCTATGAGATTCTACTTTTATCAAACTTCAGTAATTCTCTCGTTTTGTTTTAATACTTCAAATAAATTTAATGTACTGTTATAGTTACTGATGAAGCATTATCGGGTTTCATTTTAAGGTATCGCATAAGAAACGAGTGATGAAAAATGACAGATTTCAAATCAAATTCCTCAATTTGCAAAGGTTTTTATGCTCACTTGAGGTGGTTTCAGACTTTTCAAGACATTTCAAACAAAAATGACACATTTGCTGAGGAAAATCTGATGAGGCAAACATTGCACCCATGTGATTAATCACCATCATTAATCTCCATTATATTTGCCTTGTTTACAGTTGGTTACTAGGTTACCAATACTACAGTCAAGCGTTCTAAAAACATGATAAACACGACTTCACATTTGGGTTTTTCCACCCTTTTTGTAAACTTTAAAAAGATTTGCTTTACTTTAAGCTATTTTTACGCTAAGCTACGTTGCATTACGCTATTTTTGTTAGTAATTACATCGCATGCAGTTATCGAAAACTATTTAAATTCTCTGTGTTTACAAGGTTTGGGTTTGAGTAAAATATGAAGAGCTATTCATATTTCTTCTAAATTTCAACTAAAACCTTTATATATATTTTTAGAAAATCATATTTGGTCACAAATGTTTTCACTTGTTTTGATTGAAAAATCTGGAATATTCCACCAAATATTGACATCTTAACTTTTCTGAAGTTAAAACGTTCCTTTTGTTGACTATAAATGAAAATAACCATGTCTACCATGTCCAGCGTGTACAGTCCAGCAAAAGTCGCCCGGATCTGAGCAACTGTTTCAGGTTCGTCAGGGAAAAAGCACTCCAGAACACCTGGCCGAGCTAATTCCTGCTGGACCTTCTTAGTCCCGGCGAGATGAGTGCTGATATCTGGACACTTCACTGCCACAGAGCGCTCCATCATCAGACGCACCTCCCAGCTCTGAAACACGAATCACACATCAAACCACTTGTATTTCTGATAAGAGTCTGGCTTTACTACAGGGAAATAAATCCTCACCTGCTCTGAGGTGTAGTTTTGAGGCATGTATCCATTTCGGAAGTAGACAATGGCTACCTCATGGCCATCTCTGAAGGATGAATTATTCAATGAATTAGAAAAACATAAAACGCTTAACCTTTGTGTATTGTACAAATTTACTACACTATCATTAGGTTGGTGGCCGTTTTTGCCCGATTGACTTCCATTATAACTAAATTTTTGGGTAGCAAAGCTATGACACGATATAACTATGAAATCATGTGTCACTTTTACTGTAGATTATCAGCTGACAGCATTAATCTTTTTGATAGGCCTGTCCAAAAAGGTTTTGTGCTTTCATATGGAGTTCTATGTAGTAAAACAACTAAATATAGTGTGCTAGCATAAATACACTTACTAGGTTTTTGTTTACTCCATGTAGTTCTGAGAGCCGAAGTGCTTATTATGATTTTTTTAGACACTTTAAGGTAAACACACACACACACACACACACACACACACACACACACACACACACACACACACACACACACACACACACACACACACACACACACACACACACACACACACACACACACACACACACACACACACACACACACACACACACACACACACACACACACACACACAAAACCACAAATAATCAAGAGTACATAATAATATGGTGCCATGAATTGCAATCAAGAAATTATGTTATAATGAAAGTCAATGGCTCAAAACTAGCCACCAACATAACGAAAGGGTAGTTAATTTGCTCAGAGTTTATTGTTGAGCTGTTGACAATTTTCACAGCATTGCCCAAAAATCTGTGTCAGCATAAGAGTCAGAAAAGCATGTAAATGTTTTTATGACTGAAAACCAATACATTTTTATGTTTTGTATGATGCAAAAAAAAGAGATATAGGTCATTTTTAACAATAATTCACATTTGTAGTGTATTTTTGTGCTGGTACCATGGCAGATTTAGGCCTGAAATTTATTATAAAAAAGTGACTAAAGTCAGCCATTAACAACCTATTAATTCAAATGATTTGCTCGAAATGGCTGATTCATGGTGAAGAAAACAAGATGGCTGCCTTAATGAATGTATGGCTGACGTGCCATTTACAATAGTGCATCTTCCTTTTAAAATTTCATTTTAGGATGAAAACACCCATGGTTTAGACTGGCATTTTTAATATTCTTCAGAAAATAATCTCTGTTCACACATATTTTGCTGCAATCCACAATTGCTATTGTGTAATTGTCATATGAGAGAAATTTGATCAACCAGGGAACATTGGTAAAACTTAAAACAACAAAAAAAAAATATTTAAAGAAAAAATATATCAAAAATGGTTAAAAATAAATAAATAAATAAATAAATAAATAAATAAATAAAATACTGACTTAAATATAAAGTTGATTATATAATCTCTTATATATGTCTCCAGGTGCCTTTGGTTTCCCCCACAGTCAAAGACATGTGGTACAGGTGAATTTGTAGGCTAAATTGTCCGTAGTGTATGAGTGTGTGTGTGAATGTGTGTGTGGATGTTTCCCAGAGATGTGTTGCGGCTGTAAGGGCATCCGCTGCGTAAAAACTTGCTAGATAAGTTGGCGGTTCATTCCGCTGTGGCGACCCCGGATTAATAAAGGGACTAAGCCGCCAAGAAAATGAATGAATGAATGAATAATCTCTTATAAAACACAAAACTCTTTCATAACTTGAATTAAAAGCTAATTTTAACAGTATTCCAATGACCTTTATCATGTATTCAATGCTTTTGGACTCTTAAGACGCATTTCCATTTTATTTTATATACTTGGCAACTTCAGCTGAGTTCACACATTGTTAGATCTATAATAATGATATTATTGCAGACAGTAAATATCGCACAGCTCTACAATATTAGCATTAGTGTGTTAAAGATTTAAGACACCCTCGAGTACTTTTTTGAGATTGTAACAGATTTGTGTGTGTTGAGCATCAGTTAAGACAACATTAGCACCTGTCAGCTTTATTTGTGGGGAAAACTGGATAATTTTGAGCTTTTGTAAGCTAATTTCATCCTCCAGGTTTAAAATAATTTTTAGGGTGAAATCAAAAACGGTGATGTAGCGCAAAACTGCAAGTGGAGTGATGACGTGTCGGTTTCTCATTATTATTCATAGTCTAGTTTTCTTATCCTATGAGAAGACTCGGCTTTTAAATTGTTCATGAGAGGATGCTTTCCGAAGGCAAGGCAGACCTGCCAAGCTGTGAGACCCAATGACTGGGTGAGACCACGTCCGCGCATGGCAAGCAATATTTAGGATTCATGAAGGGTCATAACGTTATGTGTTTATTTCCATGGTTCACATGGTTTGCTGCATGTGTTTCCCCGCGATAGGGCGGATACAGCAAAGCTGTCGGTGTTCGTTTGTTACCATTTAGACACGTCGCCTATCTCCATGCTGCTGTGTTTGCCTATTTTTAAAATCCTCCGGATTACCGGCAAGGTTAATGGTTGGAACAGACAGGGCAAGAGACCTGCTGCACTGCCATCCACTGTGTCTACATTCAGACCAGGGATTCAGTGGGAGAGTAGTCCTCCTCCATTTAAAGTGTTTACATGATTATCTTTATAATGATATAACAAAATGTGGTTATGTGTATATTAAATTACGAAATTAAATTACGGTTTATTTCTGTGCATTTTATCTTTGTAAACAAAATCATGGGTCTCCTCATGATTTCTATCTGACTTTGTGCGTCAGCTGACAGTTGTACGCTTCCCTCTTTTTCCCCTGCTCTGCCGGCCACGCCCACTCCTCCCTCTACTCACAGCGCTTCATACCCATCATGACGCATTTTTTTTTTTTTAATTAACTTAAACCGAAAGAGGGGGATTTCATAGCCCTTTAATATGGTTAGCTCTACAATATTAGCATTAGTGTGTTAAAAACACAGATGAGAAATGTCTGATATTAAATCTTAAATAACTCACACGAAGAGCCTCTTGCTTTCATCCAGAGATCCAGTCCTGAAAACATCTTCGAATTGTCTTCTTATTACAGGTATATTTCTGTATGTACAAAATAACAAATCATAACTTCAATACCAATAAATGTTCTTGGATAGGGAAAGAGGAGGCAGAAATGTTTTGCACAATCCCAATTAGAGCACTTCCTGTACCTTTTCCACAGCTCGTTCTCCACATATCGATGGTCATAAATATTCCTCTGTACATTCTCAACCAGAAACAAAACCACTGCCCTGAAAGGAACGAAACCAGACGTGAAGTTACTTTATCATTGTGATTGCAAAGTAAACATTTCTTAATGTGACAATAAAAACTATGAGCGACTACAACAATAGCTTTTGTAATCTGGTGCATGAATATTTTAAGTGCAAGTACGTTACAGTTTGGGGTCAGTACACAGTTTTTTTAAAGAATTTTTTTTTTAATGATATAAAAAGACTTTTATTAAAAGGAATAATTCACAAAATAATCTTTCATCTTTTAATCCTCCTCATCTGTTCCAAACCTGTTTGAGTTTCTGAATTTTGTCAAACCCAAGAGAAGATATTTTGAAAAATGTATTTAAAAAAAAACAATGACCATTTTTCTTACAATAAAAGTAAATTTTCAGCTTTGTTCAAAATATCATCCTTTATGTTTGTGTTCCACAGAATAAAAAATCTCATTCATTTTTGCAAGCACTTAATGGTGAGCAAATTGTCATTTTTAAGTGAACTGTTCTCTTTAGGTAAGAATGTATTACATGAATCAAACATGACAGTAAAGTCATATATAATGTTTAAAAAATTGCTTTGAACTTTCTATTCATAAAGAATACTATACATGTCAATATTTATCCTGGGTTAAACTCAAAACCAAAATGAAGTATTTGAAAAGGTAGATTACATAAAATGTCAAAGCAAACATAGAAGAATATAGATGAACTTCAGCTGTGTGGAGCAAACGTCACATCGCTCATGTTTTCTGCGAAAGTTCAAATAATTCAACTCGAGAGGATAATTTACTTGAGGTCAAAAACATCCTATGAGTGAACTAGAGTGATTGACTTCCATAGTATTTTTGTTCCTACTATGCGTGTCAATGGCTGCTTTCTTTTCCAAATTTACATTCCCTTTCATGTTCAACAGAAGAAAGAAATTCATTAAAGATTGTAACCAATTTCATGTGAATAAATGGTGGGAATCATTTTTGGGTGAACTGTCCCATTAAAGCATAGGTCTCAAACTATATAAAATATATAAAATACGTTGCACAATACAAATAAAACTAATTTTAATATGAATTTTTAGCAAATAAGCACCTTTAATGTGTTTATGCCTTTATTAAGATTTTCATGATAAGGTTTACTTTCACAGTCTAGTTTAGGGAAACTCCTGAGACAAGTTATATCTCTGAACTTTAATAATAAATCTATATTAAATACTTCTAAAGAGAGTTCGGTGCTCAAGTCTGCACCGATGCATCCTCTATATCAATATCTCATCTGTGATCTTTCACACATCCTCCATTCTAGCGGCCTTGAGTTTTGGAACTGAACTTTGGCAGTTCATGATGACATTACACGAGGACGCAAGATCTCTGAAGAACACGTATAGAGAAACAGCCAGTGTTTTGCTCTTACTCTAATTAAATATACCTGATCCAGCGAATTAAGGTGTTGAAGACTACAAGAAACTATTAAGTAAGTGTGAGTTGGAGCTGGTTGGAGCTAAACTGTGCAGAGCTGCGGCCCTCCAGGAATTGAGTTTAAGACCATTGCTTTAAAGCAACATAATTATTTTAACCATTGATAATAACAAGATATGTTTCCTAAGCTCTTAATCAGCATGTGACAATGATTTCTAAAAAAAATCAGCTTGGCCTTCAATTTAATCCAATTAAATTCATTCATGTATAGACACCATTTTTTAACACACCTCTTGGATCCATAAAGCTCCCAGGCCTTGGCCAAACCTTTGGCCAGACCTGCTGCTGGGTTGTTGTCGAGAACAAGACTGCACTCATCTGGCAGGTTTGCCACCTTCAGAATGTGCCTTTACACAAATGAGAAGTTTATCAGAGATTAACCATCATACAACAAACACCATTCAGTCACCACAGAAACATTAATGCAAAATTTGCTTCAATTGAAATAGCCTTTATAGAGTTGTTGTTGTTTTTAGCTTTAAAGCGGACCTATTATGACCCTTTTACAGTGTGTATGAGTGTACAGTGTGCTCAGTGTTTTAGAGTGTGAAGTTTCAGCTCAAAATACCTCATAAAATATTGATTACAACTCTTTGAAACGGCCTTTGATGCCCTAGGCAAATTGTGCAGTTTTGGCGACTGTCGCTTTAAATTTAAATAATATTGTGCTCTTTTCAAAAGAGGGCAGAGCTACACATGTCTGTGCATCAGCATATGTCTGTGAAAACTGAAAATATCAACAAAATGGTTCAGAAAAAGGTAGTCTAGAGAGATTACGGTGTTCATTTGTGCATTCTAAAACTCCACATTTATAATGCCTCTTTGTCGCTGGCATTATCTTCAGCAGGTAGGGGTTGAAAACTAATGGTTAACGGCCGCTTCTCACTCAGGGGTGTCTATGCCAACAAGGAAGAGATTAATGGAGTGGGGACACTAATGGGTGGGGTTTTCCCTGTCTGATGACACGTACAAAGGGAGAATCACACTGTTTTTATGAAGTGTGATTACAACAATAGAATTAATTACTTTTTACCATTAGACAGCAGATATAGCAGTACATTGTTGCCACACAACTGTGTTTAAGCAACTCATGAAAGTGATTTTTTTTTGCATAATAGGTCCACTTAAAATGTATGGTCAGACTTACCGATGGACATCTGGTGTTCGTGAAGCAAGACCACCAAAACTCGCAGCAATAGTGTTGATTTCAATCTGCTTCAGAGATGTCCGACCGTCTGGACTGTGGTCTAACATGTAGTCTGAGCGATTCAGACCCACTACTATTTTCTTGAATAAAAGAGGAGTTAAATAAATTAAGATTTACATCTATATAACAAATTGATTACTTTTCTTTTTTATGAATTTAAACAGTGATGTAACTTTTTTACGTGAAATTTAAAGGGATCTGATTTACAAAAAAAAAAAAAAAATGTACTCATCATTCACAAACCTGTTTTTTTTTTTTTTTTTAATTCAGTTGAACGCAAAAGAAAATATTTAGAAAAAAATGCCGGAAACTAGTAAACATTGACTTCCATGGTATTTGTTTTTCCTGCTGGATGTCAATGATTACCTGTTTCTAACATTCTTCACAGTATCTTCTTTTGTGTTCAACAGAAAAAAGAAACTTGTCAACGTTTGAAAGCATTTGAGGATGAGTAAAAAGTGGGTTTGTTGATTTTTGGGTGAACTATCTCTTTAAATGAATCAGCAAATGAGTGGTAAACAATTACCGGTATACCTGAGCATGGCCCTCCTGCTGAACTTGTTTGTAGATGTTGAAAAGTCTGGCTGTAAAATCGTCAACTTTGATGGTGCTTTTGAAGTAATAAAAAAAAAAGATACTTAATACATCAACATTATTACTAACAGTAAAGCCTCCATTAAAGGGATGCACAAATTTTTTCGTATGAGGAGCCAAAAACCAAATATCTTTGAAAGCCGTGTGCCGAAGGAAAATATCAAACTATAATACATTAAAGTTGCATTTCATAATATTTTTCATAACATTTCAACATTAACAGAAAACATTACTTTAAATCATATTAACTAATTCACAATAACTTTTAAATTATAACTTACAGCGATAAAAACAATTACATTTACACTCACCGGCCACTTTATTAGGTACACCTGTCCAACTGCTCGTTAACACAACTTTCTAATCAGCCAATCACATGGCAGCAACTCAATGCATTTAGGCATGTAGACATGGTCAAGATGATCTGCTGCAGTTCAAACCAAGCATCAGAATAGGGACAAAATTTGATTAAAATTACTTTGAACTAGGGCTGCCCCCAAATAGTCGACTAAACTTTAGTCGATATGAAGAGGGCTTGGTCGAATACATTTTCATTAGTCGGTTAGTTGCAAAAAAAAAAAATCACGTGAAATTACGCAATCAAGGGCTGCGCAGTCAGTGTATGACATCAGCAACGAGAGATCAACGCCTAACGCCTAAACGCCTCCACTGTATCCCTTCCACATCCACTCCATCAGAGCGCATCTTTTCAAAGGCCGGCTTCATTGTGAACACGTCGAGAAGCTCCCTTCTTCCCAGCAATGTGGACAAGCTGGTGTTCCTCTCACATAATATGAAAAAAATAAAATCGAATTAAAAGCTTAGATAAGAATGCTTAATTTCCTTTTTGTAGTGTTTCTGTTTGCTATCCGTTAGGCTATATATATATATATATATATATATATAAAAACGGGTATTTTATTTTTATATCGGGTAGGCTATACAAATAAATAAATACATATTATTTTTATTTTTTCGTTTTTATATAATGCAGAAGTTGTTTTTTATTCTGTTAGAAAAATTAGTCTGATGTTTTTAATTTGTTGTTTCAGGTCAAGACTCATTCGTCGTCTTAAAGGCAGTTTGTGGCTTTGCTCTAATATTTTTGATTTGTATTAGTGTTCTTTAAATTATTTTTTCCACATTTTGTCGTAAATATAGTTGTTCTAAACAATTCAATCATAATTAGGCTGTTAATTTGTTTGCTGCCTTCTTTTTTTATTCTAAGTTTTGGCGTTGTGCGATGTGCATTTATTAAGTTGTTCATTTTTGTTAATTTTCCTTTTGAACAACATAAAAATTATATAAATTTAAATTTTCCACTGTATTTTATACCAAACTGCGTTTTTGCTACAGTATTTATTTTTTTATTTATTTATTTTTTGCCTAGTTTTGTACTAGGCCTAAGTTGCTAATAAGTTTATTTGATTTATTTTAAAGAACGAATTTTAGTTTATTTTATTAAAAACTTTTTGTTTGTTTGTTTGTTTGTTTGACATGTAAATGTTACAGTTTGTATTTTTGATAATAAATTATTAAAATGCACAGGCAGTCTGATTGCTGTTTTTATGTCATAATTAGCCTATAACGTTCTGGTCACTGATTTTTGTGTGTAAGCACTGTATTTAAACGCTTTACTATTCCGTTTTAAGCGCTTAATTTTTGTTTTGAATGCGCTAATATCATGCTTTAGCATTTTCTTTCACGTGGAAGTGTTAAACTTCAACTTGAACTATATTCCTAGTATATACGCAAGTTATTATATTAATATCATAAATGAACGATTATTTGATTAATCGCTAAAATGCAGGAATGTTAGTCGACTAGGAATATCTTTAGTCGGGGGCAGCCCTACTTTGAACCTGGCATGGTTGTTGGTGCCAGGCGAGCTGGTCTGAACATTTCAGAAACTGCTCAGCTACAGTACTGGGATTTTTACACACAACCATCTCTAGGGTTTACAGAGAATGGTCCGAAAAAAAGAAAATATTCAGTTAGCGGCAATTCTGTGGGCGCAAATGCCTTGTTGATGCCAGAGGTCTGAGAAGAATGGCCAGACTGGTTTGAGCTGATAGAAATGCAACAGTAACTCAAATAAACACTTGTTACAACCAAGGTATAAAAAAAAAGCATCTCTGAACACACAACACGTCCAACCTTGAGGCGGATCGGCTACAGCAGCAGAAGACCACACCGGTTGACACTCCTGTTAGCTAAAAACAGGAAACTGAGGCTACAATTTGCACTGGCTCATCAAAATTGGACAATAGGAGATTGGAAAAACGTTGCCTGCTCCGATGAGTCTCCATTTCTGCTGCGATATTCAGATGGTAGTGTCAGAATTTAGCGTCATAAAACCAACATGAAACATAAAAGCATGGATCCGTCTTGCCTTGTATTAACGGTTCAGGCTGCTTGTGGTGGTGTAATGGTGTGGGGGATATTTTCTTGGTACACTTTGGGCCCATTAGTACCAATTGAGTGTCATGTCAATGCCACAGCCTACCCGAGTATTATTGCTGACAATGTACATGAAAGGTTCAAGTGGCTGGTGAGTGTATATCACAGTGGAGTTAATGCCAAATAAAGTTATGGTTTAGGTACAGTATTTAACCGGCTGCTCAATGCAACCAGACCATTACAGTGACTAACTGGCAACAGTGTTGGCGGTATTCCACAGTAAAAAAAAAATTGTTAAGGTCTAAGAGTGCAGCCTCTGAAACCTCAGTTTGGGACGACTTGCAGCAGAGTAATCGTACTATACCTGGCCAGTGTGTCCTCTAAAAAACTGTGATTCTGGCTGACCCGGTCCACCAAGCGGTTAAACTGTGTCTGCACTGCCAGTGCCTGATGAAAGAGTGCTGCTGGCACCGATGTGGGAAACAATGTGAATGGTGCATAACTCACCACCTATCAACAAATACAGATTTATGGTTTAAATATTTTTATTATAAGAAATTTTAGCAAACATTTACTTGTAAATATATATATATCTATATATCTATATATCTATCTATATATATATATATATATATATATATATATATATATATATATATATATATATATATATATATATATATATATATATATATATATATAAACATAAACCTTACATTTTAACAATAAGACAAAAAACAACCAACAGTCATACAAATAATTAAACAATAAAATAAACATGCATTCCCCCAACCACCAGTGCTCTGCAAAGGTAAAAGTAGGTACTAAAGGCATAGTGAACATATTATTATTATTAGTTTGTAGAAAGGAAATAAAAAGGGGACCAATTTTTTTTTTTTCAAATAAAAAAATCTTGTCAATAAGGGTATACTGATTTTTTTCCAGATGTAATGCACCCGTTAACTCTGTCAGCCATAATTTAAGCGTTGAAAACTATTTTTTCTTCCAAAACAAAAGGTAAAGTTTGTTGGCAGAGATCAACCCATTATAACTGTTGTTACACTAGTGTAACTCTCAAACTTTTTTCAGAAACTTCAAACACAAACACAGATTTAATTGACTGCACTAGAGATATAATAATATGAAAATTTCATATCACGATCTCTGAACAAAACGATCATGCTTCATAATAACCAATCATGCTTTCAATGGTAATGACAATTTGAAACATTAATAAAAATGTATCTTGTGTACACTATAATATGCATCTACAGCACCAGAGCCATTCAGTCACTTCTGATTGTTTGAGCGAGAGGTTTCTGACAGTGTCCACTCGATGAAGCAGAACTAACACTCCATAATCCAGAAACAAAAACGGCCAGAGGACACACAGAATTCCAGACATGACTGGGACAAGATGTCGCTCAGTGCTTCAGTCAAAACACTCACAAAATAATTGCCACCTATGAGTCTGGACTAGACATTTTAGCTCTGAAATGCTACAAGGGAAAGCTTTATTTGTATTAAGATAAAATGAAAACCACAAATTTAGCTCAAAACCTATGCAGATAAACAAAAAGTACTATACATCAGAAAATAATAATACATTTAATACAATAATACACGTTATAATATCACACATTAAACAATGAATTGTCATGCTTTGCATTAAGGTTTTGTGGTTAGTTAACATGAATTCTAAATGAACAATACTTGAACAGCATTTATTAATCATGGTTCAGCATTATAAATTATTATAATAATAATAATAATAATAATAATAATAATAATAATAATAATAATAATAATAATAATAATAATAATAATAAGTTTTTACCAATAAACATAATAAATATTTTGCATACATTTTACCACAAGTAAACATGCATTTCTTTATTATATTTCTAAGTAGATAAAGACGTTCTCTTACTTCAGGAGAGTTTGGCGTGTCTTTGGTCCGCATCAACACTCCATGTAACAGCGCCGTGTCTTTTGCTATCTCCTCTAAACGTTTGATCAGGTTTTCATCTTTCAGGGTGTCCTCCAGTTTGACAGACATAGTACTAAATCTGCAGTCAGAATAAAACACATTTGATTCATTTTATATGCAAATGCTTCGATTGTCGGAGTCTGATTTTCAGGGAGCTAGACATTTTCATATACAAGTCAAGATTATTACCGCTTCTGTGATTTTTTTTTTCTTTTCCAAATATTTCCCAAATGAAGTTGAACAGAACAAGGAATTTTTCACAGTATTTCCATAATATGTTTTCTTCTGGAGAAAGTCTTATTTGTTTTATTTCAGCTAGAATAAAAAGCAATTTTTTTTTTTACATTTTAAGGTTAATATTATTACCTCCCTTCAGCAATAGATTATTTCAATTGTCTACAGAACAAACCATTGTTATACAATGGTTTGCCTAATTAACCTAGTTAAGCCTTTAAATGTCACTTTAATCTGAATATTAGCATCTTGAAAAATATTCAGCAAAATATTATGTATTATCATCATGGAAAATATAAAATAAATCAGTTATTACTAATTAGTTAATAAAACTATTATGTTTAGAAACTTTCTTTCCGTTAAACAGAAATTGGGGAAATATACAGCAGGCTAAAAATAACTGTACATTATTTTCCTGTAATGGAAGCACCATCAAATTAAACTTAAATGAAACACATTTTATTTTCTTTACAAGGCCTGTGTTATTATTAAAGATATTAAGTTATTATGTGCAGTTATTATGCAAAAACAAAAAACACACATACACATCTACATAAAACAGGCTTGTCTAATTTCCTAACACCCACATTACAAGTATAAATGTCAAAAACGTGATGTATAGTAGATAGAAAGCCTGAAATTCATGAGTTTTCTCATTTCAAGTGACTTTTGTAAAAATAAAATGTTAAAATATGGATGGAAATAGGCATAAGACGATATGGCAATGTACAATGTATAACGCAGTTTGGAAAAAAATCAAGGTTTTAAAATCGCCAACATTTTCTGTAATACCGTTCCTATGGTATATGTAAGATACTTTACTTACTTTACTTTACTTACTTTATTATTTACTTTACTTACTTTACTTTACTTTACTTTACTTTACTTTACTTTACTTTACTTTACGTCCACAAGTGGAATTTTTTCTTTGGCTTCACCACACAACCACATCAGCGTTCACATTACACACATCACAGAAAAAACAGGCAACACAAATACATTCAATGTTGTAACTTATATCACATTAAAAAAGTCAATTTATAACCCTATACATATCTTTTTTAGGATAACAGTTTTTTTAAGCAGAAAAGATCTCCAAAGATGCCATTTTAAATTGTAAAGAAATCAGTGTTTTTGAAACTAATGAAGACTTAATGAAAACTTAATGATTCATTTAAATTATTTAGCCTGGCATGTTTACTGCTCCAAAATATTATAAACGTTTCTTAAATTAAAATATATTGTGTTCAATGAGGGAGAAAAGTTTTTTTTTTTTTTTTTTTACCCAGACATTTAAAATAATATATTTTAGAGCAGTAATCACAATACAATGAAACTGTGATAATTTTAGCCAAGGTTATCATACCGTCAGAATCTTATACCGGCACATGCCTAGATGGAAACTGTATTCCATGATCTTTCAGTGTTAAGCATACGTTCATGTAAAAAATGTCCTAACTAGTACTTAATTAAACTTGTAACATTATAAGTAATCATACAAAATACCATTTTAAACCACTACAAACTTCTTAATGCCAAATGGCTAAAGGTTTTAAAGAAAGTATGAGATTTAAATTTTAAAAATAAGGAGTATTTTGGGCTGTACAGCAATTTCTAATGAAAACCTTTAATATATGAAAAATGTATATTGTTTCATGACATTTTTTATAGATAATTCATCTATTTTTCTTAGACTTTCAACTATTTCTACATTGAACAATATTTTAATAGGTGTGTTCTGTGAATCATGCTAAAATGTATAAGTAGTATTGTATATATATATATATATATATATATATATATATATATATATATATATATATATATATATGTATATATTTACTTTATTTTATATATAATGGCTGTAATAAACTTCAATTGTTCTTTGTAAAAATGCATTTTGGTTTTTGACCCACATACATCTTTCTGATATAATAAATAACACATTAACATACACCTCCTTATACTGTGTACAATATTTACTAGCTTTACTGGGACTTTGCACTAACGTTACGCTCCCAGAAAGGGGAAGTGACATATTTACGACTTCATTGAATCGCAATTGAATGAAACTGTAAACAGTATAAGATGCTAAAGGTAGCGTTATATGATGATGAAACGATCATATCTCTACACTCACCATGACACGGCATAACTTCACCCTATTACACTCACAAACAGCACAGTAGGTGGATGTCAACAATTAGCCCAAATAGTTGTAGAGTTAAGCCAAACCTGATAGTCGCGGGCTCTGTTTGGTCTCTCCTGCGCCTCTGAATGTCGTTGTTTACAGTGAGTCTGTATAATATATTTAATGCCTATTCACCTGCTCTGAAGGTGATGAGACTGACACAAATGAAGTGGCTTCAGGCGTGCTAATAGATATGTAAATGTATGTGTGTGTGCGTGTGTGTGTGTGGCGCTGGTTGTATCAATGGCTGACAGCGACCAATCAGCGAACAGGATAGTTATGACGCAAAAGTCGACGTGCCCGCGCAGCATTTCTTTTGTAATGAACGCAATGTGCTTAATTTCCAACCCATGATGAATCAAACTAAGACAAGATTGAATATCTTGCTTTAAAGTGATTTATCCCTGAATGGGAGGGCTTTTACTGTCCAAAGCAGAATTTCTGTCTGTGTCTAGCTCTAGACATGCCATCCAATGTACAAAGAATTAGATCAAATACTATTTAATTTATTTTTTGTTTATTTATTTTTTTAATGGAGGAATAGACACCACTATTAAAAAAGGGGAAATTCTGTGTAAACAAAAATGCAATGCTGGGTTATCTGTGCTAAGTTTTGAAACTTCAAACAATGCATCCAAAATAAATTGGTGGATTAAATTCATGAAAGAAAAGGACAGTATGCATGCGGTTTACTTTTCCAGAACACATATTTGACGTAATGGGGGTGTAAAATTTATGTTGAGATTTCTGGTGAAATTAGCTACATTTCACAAACAAGCTTTATTGGCCTGGATGCTGGAATTTAATTTCCCCCCCAAAGCAAGTATATTATTTAGAATAAATTGAAAGTTTATATGAATAGATAAATATGTAAATAAATCTATAAAATCCTGCATAAATAAAACAACAAATAAATAAATACGCAAATAAATAAATAAATAAATTCCTGCAGAAATCAAACAACGAATAAATAAATTCCCAAATAAATAAATTCCTGCAAAAATAAAAAAAATGAATAAATACCCAAATAAAACAAACAAACAAACAAATAAATATATAAATAAATCCCTATATATATAAAAAATGCATAAATAAGTATCCAAACAAATGAATGAATAAATAAATAAATAAATAAATCCCTATGTATATAAAACAATAAATGAATAAATACCGAAATAAATATTTATATAAATAAGTAGATATGTAAATTCCTGCATGAATTAAACAATGAATAAATAAATACTCAGATAAATAAATAAATAAATAAATAAATAAATAAATAAATAAATAAATAAATAAATAAATTCCTTCATAGATAAGACAATGAATAAATAAATAAATAAATCTCAAACAAATAAATAAATATATACACATATTCCTGCAATAATAAATACATAAATGATTAATTGTTTGGGCAGATAAAACAGCTTTCAGTTTAGCATTTACCATTTACTTATTCCCCCTAACATGAATTTAATTATTTATCTGCCCACACTATTAATTCTTTAAATATGTATATAGGCAGGAATTTGTGGATTTATATATAAAATAATAATAAAAATATATATTAATAATATATTTGTGTGTGTGTGTGTGTGTGTGTGTGTGTGTGTGTGTGTGTGTGTGTGTGTGTGTGTGTGTGTGTGTGTGTGTGTGTGTATTATTATTATATTTTTGGTGTCGTCCTCTATACCCGCCCCTCATTGATTGATCGTTAGAAACAAAAATGTTGGATTTTTTTTTTCATTAGAATGGTGACCATTGGGAAAAGTAAATACACAACTGTTAAAGAAATAAATAAACATTTGAAAGGGCAGAAAAATAAACTTTCAGTTCAGCGTTTTCTTATTCCCCCAAAATTCGTATTTTATTTAATTAATTACCTGCCCGCCCCACACTAATTGTTGATATATGAATTTGTGAATTTTATACATTTATTTATTTGCATATTTATTTATTTAAAGTTTTATTTCTTTACAGCGCTGCACGGTGGTGCAGTGTAGCACGATCGCCTCACAGCAAGAAGGTCGCTGGTTCGAGCTTCGACTCGTTCAGTTGGCGTTTCTGTGTGGAGTTTGCATGTTCTCCCCGTGTTCACGTGGGTTTCCTCAGCTAAATTGTCCGAAATGTATGAGTGTAAATGAGTGAGTATATGGATGTTTCCCAGTGATGGGTAGCAGCTGGAAGGGCATCCGCTGCGTAAAACATTCTGCTATGGCGACCCCAGATTAATTAAGGGACTAGGCCAAAAAAAGAAAATTATTTATGCTGGAATTTAGGGATTATTTACTCATTTATTTATATATTTGCGGATTTATTTATTAAATCATTGTTTTTGTTTTGAACTTGGTGTAAAAATAGCTAACTGCGTGTTAAATCCCCTATTTTATGGCACTTAGAAACATAAAAAGCTAGTGTAAGAAAATTAGTGCATTTAACAGAGTGCTTCAGGCGACATTAATTAACATAAAGGCAGGCTACGTTTAATTAGATTTAATTATCAGTTTGTAATTAATAAACTGCACTTTAAAGAAAATATTTTGTGAACAGTGGTATTATACATGTTTGGTCTAATGTGTCGTTGCAGTTTCGCAATTCTTACCAGCAGATGTCGCCAAGCTTATAGTGTTTTGAACGACAGTATATTCAGTGTATTCATTGTGTCCTTCAGGTGGCGATATCAGCTGTCATGGTCGTCCACACACGCTTTGCCAAAGAAGAAAAAGATTTTCTCGTGCGGCTGCACTTTCGCGATTTAATGTTTTCAACATGGCGGCCTCCTCGAGCAGCGCTGCCGTGGCCAAACAGAGCGACCATTCTCCATCAGCAGAGGAAACAGAGGCAGAAACTGAGTTTTGTCCGGGCTTTAAAGACGTCGACACATTTGTCAAGGTTTGTAGTTTGTTTGAATGTGTGTCAGCGCTGTCATTATCTGTGAATACACCGCAGCGTGGAGAGATTGAGAGAGACATGTGTGGACACGGAGTGTTTTTCGATCATTAAATGCACGTATGTTGTCTTGTAATGATTGTAGTTGCTGAAGCAGGTTTGTTTTTGTGTGTGTTTAGCATGGTCTTGGAGCGGTGGTGTCCGCCACCAAAGCCTCTGCTGCTCTTCCATCAGCGGGAGATGAGTTTGATCTGTACCGCAGTTTCTCCTCCTTCCAGCAGTTCTGCGCCTCACAAGGAGACCGACTCTTACACTGGTAAAACACTCAATAAACAAATACCGAAAGACTAATTATAAACACTGAATTGTTTACAAACACTGAAACACCATTTACAAGCACATTGTGGGCAAAATAAACATTGGAGCATTACGCACTCGTGATAAACATGCTGCTGCAGGTTGAGGTAAAGTTGCTTTTATATTTGCACATCGCACTTTCTCCGTAATAATATATCTTCAGAAAAGTATTTCTTGTAAATTCTTAATAGGGGAAATCATATTAGTAGCCAAAGAATATTAAAGTACAACATCGTCCACAGTCAATTAAATGTTTCTAATGTTGTTTTGAAGTCATACTTGCATGTGATTTCAGAGCGAATATTGAAAGTACCATGTTAAAACATATAGGGAACGTGTCACAAGTGTTCAAAAATGAATGAATGTGCAAGCATAAAATCAAATTTACCTTGATGCTTTATAACATCTAATAGATGCTTCAAAGAATGTCGTTAACACTATGACACCATAATCAGAGATAGCCAGCAAATAATGCTTTTTGTAAGTGAACATTTGTTTGATTTATTACGATTAAAAAAAAAACATGAACATGCATGCATTGTATAATACCATGTATATCATACTACTAGCCAATTACTAAATATTCAATAAAATAAACCTACTATTTTTTTCATAATTAACGTTTTTTTATATAAATATTGTAAAATGTATTGTATTTTTAATGTTTACAGATGCCATTAAGATTACTCAAGTAGTTATGATATGTATAAATGATAAGAATTAGTAAAAGATGAACAGAGAAATGCAGTAAGCTAATAATAGTAATAATAATAATAATACAAAGGTGATGATGATGACTATTATTGGTGTTAGAATATTAATTTCCACACTAGTAAAATAAATACTACAGCAATGGTAATATTATTTTACAAGTGATCTTAGGGCCTTTTGTACAAACATCATGTAAACGTGTTTTGACAGTAAATTCTAAACATGCATGCATTAATAGTTACAGTTTTGATAAGAAAATAATTTAATTACATAAAGCTTTTGGTAAAATGTAAAACTGCTATTAAAATATACTAGAATTTTACTGAATGGAAACTACTACTAGTTATAATATTTAATATTATTACTATTAGTATTATATATGAACTTAGGAGTTCTTGGACAGTGGACAATATATAGTTTGAGCGTTGATATTACAATGTGTGTATCCACAATAGATACAGCAGCATCTGAATAAATTATTAAAGATTAAGATATTATTATTAAATATATTTTTGTTTATTATATTTATTAGAATTTTTAAATCATTTTTATAATGATGACGATGTTATTTTATGTTTGATTGTTAAATTTCTATACCTGAATAAGAAAACCTTTAAGCACTATTCACCTTTTCTCTTTGCTCTGCTGTATTTATATATGCTTGTAATTTATTATGATTTATGCAAACGCACTGGACAGAAACAGACTTGATCATCTCAATCTATCTAAATGAATGAAATCTTTCCAAATCTAGCTATTCTATTCATCTGGTAAAATTATATTCATTGATAGTATATATGAATAGTAAATATTGCAAAAAAAAAAAAAAAAAAAAAAAATTCTATATATATATTGCAATGTCAGATTTTTCCAATATTGTGCAGCCCTACTACTAGGTATTCTTAAATATATATGCCACAGCATACTGCATAAAGCTTATCATGTCAGTGTCAGTAAAGTTTACTTCACTGGAGACTGACAAAGCAATTTTCTTTTTTTTCTTTTTCTTTTTTTTTTCCTGACAGTATGAGCCAGATAATGCAGCACCATGGCTGTAGATCCCACATGAGAGACCGGAACAAACTGACTGGACTGGAGGACCGCTTTGACCTGGTGGTGGACGCAAATGATGCCATCCTGGAGAAAGTGGTACGAGTCTCTCACTGACACGCACACATCGCTGAAGTTCTGGTTCAGTGCTTCCTGTTGGCATGTCTGTTAATGCTGAGAATGAGAAGGTTTATTCCAGACACTGAAAGTCAGGGAATGC